GCTCGAGGATTTCCTTTCACAGATTAGATGAAAAGTCCTGTATTGTTTGAAGGTCGAATCGAGCGGGAGCGCGGACCTAGAATGCAATAAATTTTTTTTACTACTTTATTAGGAGAGATTAGCGCCTTCGTAGTGCGGGCGAGTCGTTAGGCAGAAAAGAATCCTGTGTTAAAATGAGCAGCGTGATGCATTTCAGGCAAGCATCGGTGAATTCTGTTACTATACCGAGCAATGTCGCGGGAACGCGGAGTGCCACATGAGCCGTTGTATGTGCCCGTCTGGAACTATCAGTACCAACGGTACTTGCGTTGTGAACTCGAACTGCCAACCCTATCAAGTTCTGGTCAACGGTTTATGTCTGGATACTGTTTCTATTGGAATGAATTGCCAGGACAGTTCTCAGTGCATCGGTTTGTCCTGAACATTATTCCTGAAAAGAGTTGTGTCACGGACTATGTTTACTGTTAAAGAGTGCAGTGTGAATTAGACACACCATCTGTTCGTTGTGTTTTGCGCAGCACATTTATCGCATCAAAGTTTGAAGTGTTAGTCCAGTAGCGAAAAAGTGTCACGGTTTCCGGTGTATTGATACGTTTTTAGGTGAATCTTAAAAAGTCAGACCGTAAAAGTCGAATGGCCACTAATTTACATTTTACTTTATGCGCTCATATTGATTATATTTTTGGTTTTTTCCTGAATGTGGAGGGGAAAAGGAAAAGAAACAGAGAGGACCGCCGGCTAGAACCGTTATGTTGCACTATTAAGTTACGTGAAATCCCAGCCTCCAGCATGAATGATTATCATGAGAGCAAGTTGTTAGCAATTTTGCACCGTCCAGTTTGCTATATCCATGAGCGAAACATAGTCATTGCTGGAGAATAATTTTGCGCTTTTAGTATTGCACAAGAAGATACGCTAGCAATCTCATAAAATTTCGTGTCTGTCTGATTAACGAAAGAGAAGGATGATGAAAGTGTTGTAATTTGGACACCTGACGCGTCCGTGCGCGGGCAATATACTAAAGTAGAGACTTAGGTATTTACAGACTGTATTTACAGACCTGCACATATATAGCAAACATACACATAAAATTGTGGTTTTCTGGTCAGCCTGATTGCGGAGTTAAATTATTGTTTTGGGGATACTGAAATTTTCTGAATTGAACATTTACGCTTAACGCATAATCTAGGCATGTCTTAAAGCTGAATTTAAAATTTTCAGATCGCGCATGAACGTAGAAATATTTGTAAAATATCAGCATTCTATTTCGCCTGGTTTCCGAAATCGCTTCTTTGTCACAAATATTTTTGGCGTGCTCTAAAAAGTGATGCAGATATAAATCAAAACCCACTTTAGATTTATTTACAATTTCAGACAGAAAATGTCTCGCAAAAACACAGCTATTTTTTCTGACTGATTCGCGCTTTGTCACTGTGCCGTAAACAGATACCGACGTGCATGTGCGTATAGCGTAATTGTCCATAAAGTCTCGAACTGAAAGCTTTAGCTGGCATAAGCTGAAAACTTCTGCTCTTTGCAAAGTTTCGGGTTCATATTGTTATTGGTCTACCGAAATTTTTTTCCCACCAAAACTTTTTCGGTTTCCTTCCCAGGAAAGCCTCCGCACAGCACACAAACGAGTATGAACGTTGACTTCAGAATGGGAAGGCATCACACGGGGTAGGAAAGTGTTTCTAAAATTTCAGCTTCCTAACTTTTCTGTTGCTTTCCTACTGCTCAGTATAAAGTGTATGACAATAGAAGAAAATCTGTTATCACACACTTTCTACTGAGCAATAGGCAGAAATGCTAGAAAGTTGAAATTTATCAACGTGGGCTAATTTTATCCATCAAAAACAAAGAAATCTGCAAAATAGAATTTTCGGGCGATAACTTCACTAAATGAATTGATGTTATTGATCTGAAATCAGACAACAAATTCACTTCATTAGGTTTTCGTTCTGAGTTCCTAATTCAGACTAGTGGCGAACAGAAAAAAAA